TTTATTAGTGATAGGTTATTTGAAATCAGATCATAATATTCATTGTGAATTCAAATTCAGTCAATATTTTTGAGGCACCTAATGTGTCTGAGATTAGCAAAGAGCATTTACCCATTCTTGTCCATGGGTGCATCTATATTCAGTAAAAGCTAACAGTGTGTTATTTTCTTATTCTATTTTGGCACATTGTCAATCTCATAAATACATGCACAGCCTCAAACAGAATACCTTACCAAATAAGTATTGATAATGTGTCAGATGCTTGTATAATAATGAATATAATGAATATTTTAACAGCTATCCCTAGAGCTTTGAGCAATTATGGAGAGTAAAATATCCAATATTGATCTACACATATATCTATACCTCATATTTCTTTTCAGACATATTTCCTTTTAAGAAATAAGAAATTTGGTTCATAATGTTAAAATACACAAGTCAAGTAAGTTGGTTTGTATCATTTTAGAGCATTACATCATAGCCTGACATGTAAGTAGGTGATCAAATGCTTATTGAGAAAATAAATGAATAAAAATTTACAACACAAATATCAAACTGAAAGGATATATATAAAGTTAAGAGGTTTTTTGGTAATGATAAATAAATTTTCCTTTGGAATAAATTTATGTTAAATATCAATGTGTAAGACCCAAATTTCAAATATATCCCTAACATTGATATTATCATAGACTTCATTCAGAACATAATACTATTTGCATTATATGTATAAATATAAAATTCACATTTTATATCCATATGCTTATACTTCTGAATTACTGGATCTAAAAAATTTCTAAGATTTCAGTCCTAATCACTCATGTGATAAAAGTATAAAACCACAATAAGATTTCAAAACACTGCAGGCTCTTTTGAACTCAAACCTTTACCCCAATATTAAGAGTAATGAAGCTTCAAGAGACAGTTGTATACACATTAATTATCATAGTTATCCAAGCTACTTTCCCTCAAGGCTACCTATTTCTAAGCCAAAATGGTATTCTTAGTCCACTGTAACAATTAGCATCTGATAAATGATGCTACTGCCATACTTCTAATACAGTCATTGATCATTTCCAATTAATTCCCGAGAGAAATCAATGGTTTCCTCCTAGAGCATTTACATTAACTAATTTATGTTAATATGAACACCCTATATCCACAATTTTCTAGGGAAGATGGGCCATTCTATTTATACACTAGTTACTGCTTTAGAGTTTCCGTATACTGTTTCAGAGCTCACAAAATATATAAAAGAGCTATAAAGATCAAGTAAAACTGGATAATTTAACCACAACAACTGAATCTTGACATTGATGATTGTTGATCTAACTCAAACCCAGCAAAGAAGCTTTGGAAGATTTTTCAGATTGGTTGGTTATAGTCTGGAAATGTTACCATGTGGTGAAAACCCTACTGTTTGTTTGAATGAATACTTCTTGTAGCCACTACTAAAATGATTTCTGTTTCTAAAAGATACACCCAAAGGATGATGCTCTAGGCAAATGTTTACTCCATTCCTATTTATGGTTTACTCCATTCCTGTGTTTGTAAATAGTTATCAACTACATAATATATGCCAGTATAGTGTGAGGGCCTTGGACATTCAAGCAAAACAGAGCCAGCCTTGTCCTTACTGAACTTATACTCTACTAGGAAAGACAGACACACGTGAACAACATGACAATATTTAATAAGAAAATGGGTGATCTGAAGGGAATTTCCAGGCTACTTTTCTCCATCAAACATACATATCTCCAAAAACAGAGCGATATGAGTGGCATGCAAATAGTATTTGGAAACTATGTTTTGAGCAAGCCACAAGGTAGGGAAATTGAAGCCAAAACTCTTGAATAAAGCCTGGAACCTTGCCAAGTGGCCCTAGGCAAGAGGTGTTCACTACTTCTGACAGAAATGATTGAAAATGCCCTCATGGGGAAAAGATACCCTATTTGGACTCCTATGTTTTCATAGATTGAATCAAATAAATGTGAGATCACAATAAGAAATTACAAAATATATAAAGAAATAAATCATCATGAGTGAGAATCACAGAAACAACAAACAGGTGTAGATCCCCAGCTACTTCGAGTTCGAAATTATTATAAAATAATAACAATTTTATACTATAAAATAATAATTAGAATTCTAATTATTATAATTCTAATTATTATTTTATAATGTAAAATATTATATTATATATAATATACTACAGAATACAAAATAACAATCTTAAAGATAAAAATGGAACCACAAAAAATAAACATGTAATACAAGATTATAAGAAATGACCAGGCAGATCTGAGGGGATAAAAAGCCAAATAAAATTTTTAGGGAAAAAAAAAATTTTTTTTTAGGAAAAAAAATTTGAAATTAAAAACCTCATGAATTTCTTAAACATCAAATAGATAGGAGTGAATTAACAAGAATATACTTTTATGTACAATACCTTTATGAAGGATATAGGCAAAGTTGATGTGAAAACTACACCTCAAAAGAGTAATTTGGATAAGAGAGAAACATCTTTCCCTCATATAACAAGACAGATGGGGCAAGTGGCCTCTGTTATGCCCTCCTGAACACGTGGCTTCATCTTTGTGTCCACAGCAGTTGCTGCAATCTTTCTCAGCCACGTGATTCAAGGCAGCTCATTCACTAGCACCACCATGACTTTCCAGCCAATTTAAAGGGATAAGCAGAGCATAAAGGGCAAATGATTTCCTATTTCTCGAGTGTGAATCCTCAGACGTGCATATTCAATCCTGCTCATACACAAGTGGTCAAAATCTAGTGTTATGGCCATGCATGGTCACTTCTAGATGAAACTTGAGGTTGAGATATGATTACTAAAATGAAAATAGGGAAATGTATCCTTGGAGATCACAGCAGTTTCCACACCAGCACAGAGTGGTAAGGAGATAATAACAATGAAAGAGAGGCTGTAGGACATAAGGATATTATAAGAAGATGTAATATAGGCCTGATCAGAGTCACAGGAGACATTAGAAAAAAGCAGAGTAAACGAAGCATTGTGGGGAAGAAAAACAAAAACAAAAAACTAAGCAGAGAAAAACACAAACCCACAGATAAATGAAATATAACACAGAACAAACAAGCAGGAAGAACAGAGAAATTAACAGTTAGATGTATTATATATTACAGCGACCGCAGATCAAAGATGCAATATCATATAAACTACAGTTTCTGACCAAAATCAAATTATTTTGGAAAAGAATAACAAAAAGATAATTTTAAAAATACTTATTCATTGAGGAATTTAAAAAACAGTTCTAAATAATTCATAGGTTAAAGAAGAAATCATTGTGGAAACTAAACTATTAATACTTCAAACTGAATGATAATGAAAATGTTATACATCAAAAGACCTGCAGTGAAAGCAGAATTTAGAGGACAATTAAATAATAAAAAAAGAAAAGTGAAAATGAGCTAAGTGACTTTGCTTAAGAAGTGAGGAAACAACAGCAGAATAAAAGCAAAGAAGAAAAGAGATAAATTAAGAGCAAAAATTTTTGAAATAGAAAAAAATGATATAATAAAGTGTTAGTTCAATGGGGGAAATTATGTATCAGATAACACCTGGGGAGACAAATCAAGAAAAGTAAAGACAAAGGGGAAAAAAAATAAAAATGAAACAGAACTGCAAATACACTAGTAATAAAAAGGGTAGGATGATACTAGTGATAAAAAAAAAGTTAAGAAACAACTTTGCTCCAAAATTTGAAAACTTAGATGAAATAAATTTTTGGATATATGGAATTTACCAAAACTGACTTAAGAAGAAATAGAAAGTGTGAACAGCACTTAAAATCACTAAAGAAATTGAGATGGTAGTTAAGTTATTCAGCTTAAAAAAATCAAGCTCAGATTGTATTACAGAATAATTCTATAAAACTCCAAAGGAATTGATCATTTCAACTTTATAAAAACTCTTTCAGACAATAAGAAAAAGAGGAATAGTACATAATTCATTCTATATTACCAGTATAATTTTGATGTTAAATTCAAACAAAAGAATGTAAAAATAAAAAATTACAGGTTGATCTCATTCATGAACTCGGAATAAAAATCTAAATGAAATATAAACTGAATTGAACAGAATATAAAAAATAATACATTTGACTAAGTTGAGTAGCTCTGAAATGCAACAGCAAATGATCATTAGAAGTTAACATAGTGAAAGGGAAAAAAGTCCTCAACATTTTCATCTCATTAAATATAGGAAGAGCATTTAACTGGCATTTATTGAGGACTCTCTAATAGGTGTATATTTTCCTTGATTTATTTTTAAAGACTAAACTTAAAAATATTTGATAACTTGATAAAATCTATAGATAAGCAGATATATGATCAAAAGATGGAAAGGGGGGCTACAAAAATGAAAATAGTGCCAAGGTGATAGGATATTCCTTTAATATTGTTACCGTATTATTTACCCAATAATAGTTTATTTAAAATATTAAACCCCAACCTCAATCTATTTTTAAATTTAATGATCAAATCTTAATGATGAGTCTTGTTCTTAGTTCTCATTATACCTTCATGTCTGGTTGCTTTCCATAAATACTAATTAAGTGTGAATCACATTTTAGATTTATTTACATATTTATCAACTTAAAGAAGAGAAAATAATTGAATCTGCCTGTTAATAATTTCTTCACTTCAGAAGATTAGAAAAATCAAAAAAAAAAAACAACCCTACACAAGTAAGGCATTAATGGCATAAAAAGGTGTCTTGTTTGTCACTTTAAAGCTGCTTTTTCTTTGAAAAGCACATCTTTTCAGCATTATTAGAAACAGGCCTTCTGAAAAGCAAACTATTGTTAATTCCATGGCTTTAGGTAGGATATTTCCAATGTTACCTCCTCTATCCAGAAAATCAATGGCACTACAAGCTAGTACCTTTACGTATTTGTAAGTTACAAGTACACTTATTATAAATTAGCAACTAAAATAATTGTTTGACACATGAAAGTATGGGAGACTTGGTGAGAATACTGGTATTTTAATTTTGTAAGCCATATATTCAAGTAATCAATAATGGAGCGTTGCCCACTGAGAACTGGGGTTTGGGCTGAGACCTAAAACTTGTCTCTTCCCAAATGCAGTATCATGCACCACTCTCAAGAGCTAACAACAGGTCAGTCCAGATGCTAAGGCCAGGTACTTCGAAATCTCCATCTTGAGCCTTACAGGACTTCAGAGTAGTTAGAACTTCATCTTTCAGAGGTGGAGGGGCCTGACAGAGGCTTTGAAATCTGCCGTACAACTCCTCCCAGGGCACATCGTAGGACTCAGTTCCAATCCAAATGCCTTTCTGAAGGTCGTAGTGCAGATGTCGACCCCAGTCTGTTAGCAGACCCAGGTAGACCCGGGAGACCTCTGGATGGCGCCCTGCCACCGAAGTTAAAAGCCCGGCTGGGAGGTTGCGGCAAAAGGCAGCTATGACCTCCGATTTCCCCAGAAGCCAATGAAGCAGCTCTCGGCCCTGCTCTCCCGCTCTTCTGGGGCTGCCGAGTTCCGATTCCTCTTCTTGGTGCCGGGGAGACGAAGGCGGCAGCAAGAGCGCAGCCGCTGTCACCTTCAGGAAGTTGTTGTGGGGCAAGTGCTCCCACAGGCGGCTGAGAAACCTGCCAGGGCCCTCCGCGTGGGCCTCCCCCACCTCCTGCAGACGCTCCAGCAGCAGCTCCGCCTGGGTCTTCATCAGTGAGTCCTCCTGAAGGACCGGGTTCTCTCTATAGGCGCCGGAGCGCAGCATGTGGACAGCAGCCCGGCGGCGGGCGAGGAGGGCCAGGCTGTCCTGGAGCATCCCCTCTTCGGCGCCCGGGACGCCAGGGCCGGGAAAGAGCTCCTGCAGCAGGTAGTGAAAGGCAGCATCCCCGAGGGCCCGGTTCGCCAGCAGGCGCAGAGACAGCAGGAGATCGCAGTGCCCCAAGGCCTGGAAGTTCGTCAACCCTAGGGCCGGAGCGGGCCCAGAGCCTCCCTCCTGCTTCCACTGGTTTTGCAGTCGTCGCTCCAGAGCCTTGCGAATGCGGGCATGGCGGCCAAAGCGCCTGTGGACGTGGCGTAGATAGCGAGCCCACTGTAAGGCCCTGCGCACGGTCGCGGCGTCCCAGGTGCTGACGTGGGTCGTGCGGGAGACCGCCAGAACCTCAGAGAAACGCTCCAGGTGCTGCAGGAGCGAGTCCATAGGGGCCCACCAGGGCCATACTTCCGCCTTCACCCTGGAGACGGAGACTCTCTGCGTGATGATTGGCCTGTCCCTGTAATGCTCCGCCTCTCCACAAAGCTATTGGATCCAGTCCCTGTCAATCTGACAGCTAGAATCCGGGTACCTGCCCTCAGGGAAAGTTAAGCCGGAGCAAAGTGCTCTTGGTTTTACTTTCGCCACGAATATCGAGGATGCGCTTATGGGAGGAAGAATAAATGCAGGACATCTTAGTGAGAATTACCCGAGCGACGTGAGAGATGCTGCTATTCACAAAGGTCTCCGTGCTTCCTTTCGCTTTGAAAATAGCCTCTAGTAGAAATTTCCTGAGTTTTGCCTGAGTGAATCTGTGTTAAAGTTTATCATAATCATAAGCCAGAGACGTGCTGTTACATATAAGAAAATGTTATTAAATGAAAATTTTAGTTCAAGTCAGTGTAGTGGAAATGTACTGGCCTCCAATTAACGAATACCAGGCACTATGCTAAAGTCCAGGCCTTGGCCTTGTCACTTCATTATTAAAACTGAAGCCCAGGTTAATTGAAATTCACGATTAATACTTTATTAAAATATTAAAGGAACTTAGAATTTTATTTCAAAGTTGTACTTTTTTGTTTTGTTTTTGTAATTTCCAAAGCAAAATAGCACAACTGACTTTTTTTTTTTTGGCTTGATACGTACTTTAGTATGTTAAGTGTTTATTTTAATTAGCTGTGTATTATCAGTTGACTTATTTCACACAGATAAACAACTGATTAAACAAAATGTCATTTAGGAGCATATAACAAAAAACATATGCTTTTCTCAAGATTGTGGGGAGAGGGGAAGAAGGACCTATTTCTGGAGTGTCATCTGGATTATTCACTTATTTATGTATTCTGCAATATTTATCTGCCAACTCCTAGGAGTTCTGTCGTCCAAAAACCCACAACAATTGATAATCTACAGAAATTGATGACATAACTCATGTGAGCTGAATTTGTTTCCAGTCCTAAAGACACTAAGCAAAACTATTTTAATGAGTAGTCAGAACTGATGTTTTGTTTTGTTTTGCTTTAACAAAAAAGGGAAGAGAAACAAATTTACCACAGGGAGAGTCATGTTTCATTTATTATTGTTTTTTAAAATGAATAAATAAAGCAGTGGTGCTTATGCTGTTAATTCAGTTTTAGTATTTACTGTTTATCAGTTAGCCAAACGCTTATTTGAACCTGAAGTGGTTACTTGATTTTATCTTTGTCTTGGCTACTAGAAACTAAATGTGCACTCTACCGTTAGCAGATGTACAGGTTTCACCAATCCATTTATTTATTCTTATTTTGAGCACTTACTATATCACATAGTGTAAGATACCAGGGCTCTAGTGATAACTAAATAAATGTAGCCCTTGTCCTAGTGAGGGAGTTCATTTCCTACCATTTAGAAGAGAAATTAAACAGATAACCTCTACTGTGATAGGCTATAATGAAGGTGGACCTCCAAGACTTAGGTGATGGGGAAGGCCTCTTTAAAAAATTGACCAATTCCAATCAGTTAGGCCTAGGTGATTCAGAAAATACTTTCCTTACTCTTCAGAACTGGTAGATTATGAACACTGACCAATATGAAGAGATATTCATGACAGGCTGTGTGGGTACCTACAAGCTGGGTATAAGGCACGCTTAAAAGATAGTTCCTTCCTCTTAATATTGTATATTTATATGAAGCCTAAAGCTGCTATAAGAATCTCCTTCCTTGAGCTAACGGAATCTCAGAATCACAAAGAATACATTGGATTAAGACTACCCTCAAACTAACCCTGTTTAAGATGGTAACGCTATACATTCTCAGTTTTTTTCTGGCTGGTCTCAGTTTTATCTTCTGTTCCTTTCAACTAAACACACCCCCCAACTAATACAATCCCTTCAGAACACTGTGTGGTTGTGGTACATGTAAACACTCAGTAAACACTGACTATTTCGTTGTTAGTATTATATAAGCCTCTGAGGTATATATCTTCCCATGTCTTCTCCAAATTTCACTCCTCCCCACAGTCCCTGATCAGACTGTAAAACCTCATATCAGATTTCAAAAATATTAAATTTATGTACTGATAAGACATAACACACGACGTTGATCTCTTTAACCTTGACAATTGTTTTTATAAAGGTAACTGACTATAACTAAGCAAGTGTTTTTCTGGGTCCTGAGTTTCCCAGTGAACAGAAGAGATTACAATCATATGCCTGAAATATTGATCTCGTTTGGCCTTGGGGCATATGAGTGAAGTCCGGAGGCTGGAGTCATTACTGAGATGATGAGACATCTGATAATCCGTCCTTCAGTCCTTTGGACATGCTCTGCCACCTGGACATCTACTCAGTGGCTACAGTGAATACATATTGCAAACCAAAAAGCTGATGAAAGAGTTTCAGATGTCTGAGAAGGACAGGACTAACCCTAATGAGTCCAAAGGAAGATGCTGGAGGAAGGATTAAAGGCTGAGAGCTCTTTGTTTGCACAGAGCTAGATGATGGCTCCAAATCTCTGTTTTTTGAAATATTCCTTCCATTTGCGGTGGATAGGACTTGAAGTGGCCTCTAAGCTAGCAGCAGAAAGACTGCTCTAACAATGCATGTGTATTCTGAAAATTAGAACTTCATGACAACTTTGAAATACTTGATTTGAACATTTTTCTTTGGATTTGAAATTCATTTCTGTCATCATGTAATGTTTAACATCATATTGCCTATATAGGGAAAGAAAAAAGAGCTTTCCTTTAAATATAATCTCACTCATTATAAATTTTAAAAGGTCATAAAAATAGTTTTCCCTGTTTTATTAATAACATTTCTAGTTAGTGGTGACGCTCAAGAATATGAAGAGAATTTTGTTAAATTATGGAATTATGACTGATCATTTCAACGTAAAAACATGTACAGATTTATGAAAGCAAGCTTAATTTTCCTCTTTAAAAGCATTCAGTTTTCAGTGTTGTTGGGAAGTTTCATATAAATTTAAAATGTAGAATCTCTATGTATAGCATCATATAAAGAGAGTACAATTACTTTTTTCATCCAGTCTATTATATATAGATCTTCCTCAACTTATGATGGAGTTGTTTCAATAAACCCATCATATATTGAAAATATCTTAAGTCAAAAATGCATTTAAATTAGGAGTAAGATATAGCTCAAGTGGTAGATCGCATTCCTAGCATGCATGAGGTCCTGGGTTCAATCCCCAATACCTCCTCTAAAACTGAATAAACCTAATTACCTCTCCCCAACTGCTGCCAAAATAAAATAATTAAATAATACAATAATAGATTAATTTTAAAAACAAATTTTTAAAATGCATTTAATATTCCTCACCTACCAAACATTACAGCTTAGCCTTGCCTGCCTTAAATGTGCTCAGAACACTTACATAAACCTACAGTTGAGCAAAATCATCTAACACAAAGCCTATTTTATAATAACATGCTGAATATCTCATGGACTTTATTGAACATTGTACTACAAGTAAAAAGCAGAGTGGTTGTATGGACACCGAATGGTTGTAAGTGTGTGGGTTGTTGACCATCGTGATCGCATGGTGATGGGGAGCTGCACCGCTGCCACTGCCCAGCATCGTGAGAGAGTCAGACCACGTATCTGTAGCCCCGTAAAAGATCAAAATTCAAAACTTAAGTATGAATCTACTGAATGCGTATCACTTTTGTACCACTGTAAAGTTGAAAAATCCCAAGTAGAGCCATTGTAAACTGGGCACCGTTTGTATGCATCCCACATCCTCTTTGGTTGGCCGCCATGGGCCGTAACGTGAAAAAGATTGGAAAGCACTGCTCTCACATAGTCATTCTAACACACTGAGCTAAAGAAAAGGGGCAAAAGAAAGGGCACCTCAATTCAAACTGGCCTGTCCTAGGTGTCTACAAATAGGGCAGGAAGAAAGTTAGTTGGCTAGTTATTCTCCACTTGTCCTTCCCATGTCACTCCATCCAGTTCCTCCTTTCTCTTCCCTTTTCTGTGCAGAGGACGGGCCTGATCCTCACTGACTCTGTCAGCCCTTTTCCCTTGCCTTCTGGCCTGCTGCTGAGTAGACCGGTGAGAGGCATTAGCAATTAGAAAGAGGGGAGAGATGCAGGATTTTTCTTTCTCTGCTCTCTGGTAAGGCCTCAGGATTCTAGTTGTTTCATTTAAAAATTCTATGAGGCCTCCCTGAGCTGCTGATACCACCTATTAAGCCGGCAGCCTTGGGGACTTCCTACTGTTCCTAGTCCCTGGGTGCCCTGAAATACCTTGTTGATTTCCTTAACCCTGGCCTTGCTTCTGCAAATCTTCCTCCGTTAAATTATCTTCAAAATCCCTGCTGACTGTGCTGGTTTGTTTCCTGCCAAGACCTTGACTGATGCAGTCGTCTGAGTTTTCAACCATTCTCATAATTAGTATAAGTCTGTGAGTCATAATATTATCAATCAGTATGTGCTTAGGGAATGATGAGTAGTCTAGTGCAGTGATTCCCAAATACCTGTCATTGCCAGACACCCCTGCCAATCTATGAAGCCGTCATTGTTACAGTGATATATGAAAAATAGATGACAGACATTGTGAAGTATTTTCATAAACATAATTAATTTAAGTGAAGGGAACAAGTATTTCTTTATAAAGTAAAGGCGATATTAAATGGCAATTTTGTGTCTTCTTAATTGGAAAATTTTCTGAGTTTGCAGTTATTATCCTATGCACTTACTTTAGAAAATGTGTGTGTGTGGGTATACATATATAGCTATATGTATATATCTATATCTGGGTAGATAAATGGGTAGTCTATGAAATTCACAATTTTGAAAGTTTCCTGTCTAACATGGAAAATGGTAGAAGTGTTTGTAGATGGACCCAGACTGTGAAGACCATGGAATACTGCAGTAAGGAATAGGGTCTGTGTTCATTTGTCATCCAGATACTATTGACAGTTTTGGAACACAAGAATGACATGACCATATCTGTTGTAAAGCAGTGT